ATAAAAATACTTGAACATGAATGTTCAAAGCAGCTTTATTTGTAGTAGTTGAAAACTAGAAACAGCCCAAATGTCCATCAACGGGTCAATGGATAAACAGATTGTGGTGTGTTTATACAATGGAATGTGATTTGGGAATAAGAAAGGGATAAACTATCATTGATACATGCAACAAGGTGAGTGAATCTCAAAATGCTGATTCTGAGCGTAAGAAGCCAGGGAAGAGAGTACATGTTGTGTGATTCCATTTATAGAAGATTTCAGAACATGCAAACTAATTTATATGACAGAAAGCGGATCAGAGGCTTCCTGGGGATGAAGGGTGGTGGAGGGCAGAAGAGAGGGATCGCCAAGGGATACTAGGAAAATTTGGGGGGTGATGGATATGTTCACTATCTTAATTGTGCTAATGGTTTCATGGGTCTATACAAATGTCAAAACTTATCAAATTGTACACTTTAAATATGTGCTGCTTATTGTATGTCAATAAAGCTGTTAAAAAAAAGAAAATTATCGTGCTTGGTTGATGACATACTGTGTTGAGGAGTTTCAAAGTGAAGTAGTGACAGGTCAGTCCCCATCTAGGGGATGGTACTTCTCCGGTGGTTTGCAGTGCTGGTGAGGCCAAGGTCCACCACCCCGTCCTCACAGGCCATTTTGCCTTCCACAAGACTTCCCATCTGTGTGTTGGAACCTTCGGTCAGTCAATGGTAAGTAGGTGCTATGGGCCCAAATAAGACTGAGAGAGAAAGTGAACCCACTGGGTGTAGACTCCCCCCTCCGCCCCCACCTTGGCTGCACCCCCTTTTGGGAAATCCTCAAAGCCTACATCCTTCCATGAGCTTCTGACAGCAGCATCCTCAGGGATGGACTGTGAATCAGCTCACCGACCTGTAGACAACTTGGTCCCTCCCTCTTCATCGGACTTTTTGCCAGCTGCCTTGAATTGATTTTTCAGATGCTTGCCCCATCTTTTCTACAAGATTGTACCCTAACACATTTCCTTTTTGCCATGGCTGTTGGGAAGCTCACAGTCAAGGATGGTGTCTGACTGTAATGGTTAACTTATTCTAGGTGCCTAGTACCAGTTAATTTCTTGCTCCTTTCAGCTGGTTTTTGTTATTGATTGATCTCTCTCTCTCTTTTTTTTTTTTTTACAACAGATTTTATTTATTTATTTGAGACAGAGAGCATGACAGAGCAAGCTAGAGAGCACAAGGTGGGGGGCAGAGGGAGAGGGAGGAGCGGGCTCCCAGCTGAGCAGGGACCCCGATGAGGGGCTCGATCCTAGGACTCTGAGATTATGACCTGAGCCGAAGGCAGATGCTTAACCGACTGAGCCACCCAGGTGTCCCTATTGATTGATTTCTATATTTATTTGTAATATATCTGTTCTATGGTATGTTCCATCTTAGGAAGTCATCTCAGTTTCTTTTCACAAATAGATGGGGCTTCAACCGTTGTAAAAAGAAATGCGAGAGGTCGAGGGCATGTCCTGTACATCGTCTTTGAGTCCCACCATATCTGGGAGAGTACGTTGCATGGGAAAATGCTCATTAAAAGTATGTTGAATACATTATATAATTCCTAATACTTATTGTGTCAGAGGCTCTCCCGAGGGGAAGTTCTGTAGGGACACTGAGTGACAACGGATGTGCATCTTTTTTATTTTCTATCTCCCGTGGCACCTGTCTGGTAACGTCAGTGCAGGTGCTAAGGTGCCTGCTTTCGTATCTTTTTGGTGCCTGGAGCCGCTAAGTGTCTCGCTGGATGGACAGCCGCAGAGGGCACCTACCCAGTGACTCACGGGGAGTTGTTGCTCCTCCGAGAGGAAATCAGTGTCCTAAGTCTGGTACTCTGTGTTTCCAGTAGTGGCATTGTCCTTCGTAGCACATCTCTCCCAGGTTTGGCACCCCCAGAGTCTCTGCCTGGTGCCTTAGGAACTTACCTCATTTTCTTGAAATCGGAGGCTCATCTTTACCTTGTGACTCAGTGAGGACAGCCATTCAGAGCCGGGAATGGCTACCTAGGGACATCTGGCTGCAGCCGAAACTGCCCATCTCTCATCCTTCCTAACAAGGGCCACATGATTTACATTTCAAAATGTTCCAATAGGACCGCGCTCAGCATGGCTAATGAAGGATTTCAGCATTTGGCAAAGAAATGGCAGGGTTACTTAAAACTGAACTGTTTCGTTGAGGAGTGATGGTCTTTTAACGAGCTCCCAAGGAACCCATGGAAGGGTCTGCAGAATAAAGCAAGAGGGCTCCCAAGAGTCAGAAGCCATAAACAAGGACCCCTAGTAGTGGAGACACAACCCCTGTTTTCATTTTTATGGCCCCTTCTTTGTTCTTTCCCTTGCTGTGTGCTAAGGATAGAGGAATTTTGATGGTAAGAAAACAGATTAGATCATGTTCTGTTGGTTCTCAAACAGCTTTACTAGATTACATCCCCAAAGTGAGGAGTTTAAATTTTTGGTTTGGTTTTTAGGAGCCTACAGGATCTGCTTGCAACCTTCCTTTTTAATTACTTGCTCCCTGTTCTCTGTCATCACATGTCCTGGGCTTGGACTATGCCAGCCAGCTCTTGGCAGCTTTGCACTTGCGCTCATCCTGTACCCGCTGCATGAAAAGTCTTTCCTATTTCCATCTATCCACTCCACCCTCCGTTCTGTTTACAGAACTCAAATTCCTTCCCTAGTGAGGAAAATAAACCACACCTCCCTACGCCAGGGGTACTTTGCTTGCCCTAATTTCACTGGGTCTGGATAATAGAAAACCGTCCATTTCTGCTTCTCCCCAAGATCCTAGGCAGCCAGAGGGCAGAGCCTGGCGGTATATGGTTGTATCTTCTAGTGCCTAGCCAGAGCCCCGGATGCAGGAGACTCTCATAATCATGGGTTGTGGAGTGGCGTGTTCTTGTTCTTTCACTTTTTTTTTTAAAGATTTTATTTATTTATTTGAAAGAGAGAAGAGAGCATGAAAGAGGGAGAGAGATGGAGAGCCAGAGCAGGAGCAGGGGGGCAGGGGCAGAGGGAGAAGCAGGGAGCTCGATACAGGGCTCCATCCTAGGACCCTGGGATCATGACCTGAGCCGAAGGCAGACACTTAACCGACTGAGCCACCCAGGCATGCCTCTTCTTCTTCTTTTTATTTTTAAAATTATTTTAAAAGACTTTATTTGTCAGAGAGAGAGAGAGAGTACAAGCAGGGGGAGCGGCAGGCAGAGGGAGAACCCTGGGATCATGACCTGAGCTGAAGGCAGACATTTACCTGACTGAGCCACCAAGGCGTCCCTCTTCTTGTTCTTTTAAAATCAAGTTTTATTAATTCAAAGTATGCCATACATTCTCACTAAAAAGTATAAGAGTGAATAGTCACTCCGTTCTCTAGCCACCAGATTCCGTTCTATGTGAATAACCAATATTATCAGCTTCTTATGAATCCTTCTAGACATATATAAACATATTTTTCTTCCTCCTTTTTAAAATAAATGGGATCATACTTAAACAGTTTTGCACTTTGCCTTTTCACTTTACTATGCTCATATACACATATTTTTAAAACTTATTTAACCAATTAACTATTGATAATGTTTCAGTGGTTTTCATTCTTTTGTTATTAAAAACAATGCTGCAATGAATAATCTTGTATATTCGCCATGTTCAGATGTAATTTACGTAGGAAGAATTTCTGGAGGTGGAATTGCTAGGCCAATAGGTATGGGTACTTTTAATCTTGATCATCACTGCCTAATTGTTCTCTGTAAAGAATGTCCAGTTTCACACCCATCAGCAATATATGGGAGTCTCTGTCCCTGCACCGTTGCCAACACGATGTGTTATTAACTTTTGGACAAGTTCCATTTTAAAAAAATAAAATTAGATTTAATTTTCAGTGTGTGTGTGTGGGGGGGGGTGTAACAAATTCATGATCACCTCTTGGGTTGAAAATCATCAAAAGTATCTGGGGGTGTTAACAATCTGGAGATTCTGACCCCAGGTTCACGGAAAAGTAATTGTTTGACTCCAAGGATAATTAAGGAATATGATAGAAAAATGTCATGGATAACCAATTTCTTTAATAAAGAGATTTTACTTTTGTGAAGCAATTTACAGATTTTAGATGCATTTTACATGCATTGATTTCGACCAGTGGGTGCATTCTTACACTTTCAAGAATTTAAAGCGTAACTGGGAGGAGCCAACTTGATGAACACTTTGATGTTTTGGGTAAGATTTTGTATCTTCTGATTATTTTAGTAAGGGGATGACTAAAGAGGTCAGAAGATAGTCTGAAATCTGCTCCACGGTGGTGTTACGAGGATTAAATAGGATGTCTGCAAAACTTTTGTCACAATACCCGATACATAACAGGCACTCAATAAAGTAGCGGTAGTTATTAACAAACAATAGGCTAACAACCAATAGGCTGTTATATGCGTTGATGACAGATTAAGGGGCTATTTAGGTGATAAAATCTGCCCTCTCGGCAGTGAGGGTTCTGGAGCCTGATAAATTCCTCTCTAGCACTCATGAGCAGTGTGACTTTGAGCACATCCCCTAACCTCCCCGGCCTCAGTTTTCACATCTGGAAAGTGGAAGAATAAAATCCAAGGCTCAAGGTTTGCCCTGATCTTAAACGTGCAATACTCCCAACTGCTTGCTACACACTAGTTCTCTTCTTTCCTCCCAACCTACTGACTGGAGCCATCAAGAACCCATCGAAAAACCCGATAACCCCAGGAAACCAGAGGGATCGAGACCAGGGCGACACGAGCTTGTTCATCGCCGCCGGTGAGGGCCGCGCGTCCGAAGGCAAAGGGTCACGAGCGACGCGCGATCTCTGACTTCCCCGCAACCACCTCGCCCCTCCCCTCCCCTCCCCTCCCCTCCC